TACCGAAATCCATTTCTCTGTGCCTATCAGTGGGAAACATAAAGTTTTTGGAAAATGATTTGGATCACAATTTTACAAATATTGCAAAAAAAAAAAACAGTATCAAAGAAGGTCAAAAAGGAAACTGAAACTTTACACTCCAAATATAAGTTTGAATATAAAAATGGAATCTCATAAATATTCGGAATGTAATTAAGTTTGATGCAGTACTGGTGGTAAAGTAATTAGGGGTTTTGTAATTTATATCACAATTACTTGAAGATGATTTTCCATTGAATTCATTTCAACTTGAAGAACTTGAAAATGGTAATATTCTGGCGTTTTCTTATCAATTATGAAAATATGTAGAATCTAATAAAATCTAAACCTCATTTGACAATAACCAAATTTGGGTTGCACAAACATCAAGCGATAAAAATGTTCCTATTCCATAATCATGCAACCCATTCCCACGAGAAGTATAAGTCAAAATTTGATCTCAAATGTCTTATCTATATTATCTAACACACATATGATAAAAAGAACCCTTTGAAAAAATGTAATAGAGATTTTTGATTATGTTTGCATCAACATAGCTTTAAAATGTGGCTTCAAATATACTGACCATTACAATTATCGTATGATAAATGGAGCGTCATTAATTTGTTGCTGTTATATGAATTACCGTAATTCATGTCACACTTTGAAATCGTTGCAAAATATTTTGTTGCCGGAGAGGAGAGTTGAGTCTGCTTTGGTATTTACGAAAATACCAAAAACCGATAACAACCACAAAATAAATATACATGTATGCCTGTACGTTACCCAACGCATAGATATTGGCCGAATCAAGAATATATACAACGGTATCACACCACATCAAACGTGAAAAGTGCGCTTAACGACCGCAATGCTTGGGCTAACTTAAATAGCCCATGTCATGTAAATAATTCACATTTTTAGTGGTTTGACTCAATGGCAATGGAATGTGTTCAACGGTAAAATTATGAACCCGTTGAACAAGAATTGAATTTCAAAGAGATACATGCGTGTTTGTTTGGGTGTGCATATGTACACCTGAAAATGATAAAATCAGTACAAAGAATCAACTCGGTTTACACATGAAAATAATGTCATTTTTGAACTTTTTTCGGTGGATATTCCACACAAATACAGTAATTTGTGGGCTTTCTTTTGAATATGATATAATTTTTGTGTGCTATGATTGATAAATATAAAATGTATGGCAATAAAATGTGATGAAATGTTTCATTCAACACGTTTTGACCTATCCTGCAAAATGAAATGTTGCAAACGTTAAAAGTAAGATTTTTTCACATTGTAATATTATACAGATATGTAATGTATGTATTTAAATTGACGAACAAAATAATTAAAACAAATCATACTTGAAAATAAAACGAAATGAAGTTGAACCAACGGCAAATATTAGCGAAGAAACGCACAAAAAAAAAGTTAAAAAGTTGCCGTGACATTGGAGCTGATGTGGATAGCGTTGGCCGTCACCTCAAGCTGTGTGCTCATTAAACGCAAATTGTTCTTATTTTTTTTCGTATTTTTTAGTCACTTTTTTTCTTTGCAAATTCATTTTTTACTTCTTCATTTTTCACATTGCTCATTTTCTTCTTCCGTTCAGGATTTGACGAAGCAGCAGTATTATCATGGTGATGATAATGAATTTTATTCGAGATTTCCGACGAATCTCGACGGATTTTTTTTTATGTATGGGTGTTCAGACGTCAACCGAATAAAAAAATATGCAGCTTGTAATTCTAGTTAGCTTCAATGAAAAATAGACACGCGTTGCAAATTTCAGTGGCAGAACGCCTGATTTGACTAATTTGACTTGAGTGCAAAACGCGCAAGTTTCGATATTGATCATTGCAAAAGATTCCGTAAGCTTTTAACGATGGCAAAGAGGCTGAAAAGTATTTTTCATTTCTTATTTAAGTCAATTCGTTAGAATGTTTTTTGTAGAAAAAACAGGAAAAATCAACATTGCCTTAATTGGCCGATCTTACTAATTAAACTGTTCATCAATCAAAGTGAATTTTACAAAGTTTTTGCAAAATCGTTTCAAAGAAAACTTATGTGTTATGTTTACTAAAAGAAATAAGCATTCAAAATACAAAAAATGATTCTTTCATTTTGATTATTTAATATTGCGAATAAATTTCTAGCTTCTTGAAACATTTATCGAGATAAATACTATAAAAAGTAGTTTAAATTTTGGCGATGCGAAACTATCCGCTTATAAAACAACATGTGCTTGAAAATGAATTGTGTTGAAATGGATTTGATGGATATAACTGCGTCGCCAACGTTCATTTGTGTCAAATATCCAAATATTTTCTAATAAAATATTTGATAGCTCTAAGCGCATAATAATAATATTATAATAGTTCCATATGGTTGCAATTTAACCAGTGCTTGCCCAGAGTTTATTTTCACACCAGTCCGCATATTTGTGAACTGAAAAAGATGACTCTGTTTTATATTTGACTCAAAATAGACAGCGTCAAACGAAAAAGGGAATGAGAAATATTTTGAATAAATTAATAATATTTAACGATCAGACTAGCATATTTTGACGCCTAAATTTGCTTTGTTGAAATGAATTTTGATAACTTAGTTAAATGAAGAAAGCTAAAGGCTCATTTTTTTCGCTTGGCCTTATATTTATTTTTCGACGAAATATTTCCTTACACAAATTAAATGGATATATTAAATGCCTTGCTCTAACAGCGTTTGATTTTATGGCTGTTGTTCAAAATTGTTCGGAGCGGATGTTCTGTAATACATAATGTGAGTCGTGCGTAAGTGTATCTTATATATGTTCAAATTTCGTTAGATGATTTGATTAATTCGCATAATGTAGCAAGTTCAACTTGCCAAGTAAATTATGTTTTTGCTCTATTTAGCCACTTGAACTCGCAGACTCTTTTTTCATTTCGTTGAAATTAAGTACATATCTTATGCTCGACAAAAAAATAATTCAACACAACTCATAAATCTTACAAAGATTGCCCTTGCGGCCCTTGCGTTGCCGTTGAACCCTGGGCGTATGAGTTTGCTTTCATCTGGCAATAAATTCAACATTTTATCCAATAAATGAACCAAGTGTTGCGTTAATAGAATTACAATTTCAATAAAAAAAGCAAGTATCATATAATTGCTTTTATAATTAATAAACAGTCAAACGCATTAAGTATAATATCGTTGACAAGTCCATTAAACAACATTTTGCTTATATGTATTGATTTCACGGTGTAATAGCTGTTTCAAAAATTCTACGCTTTTAGCACACACACACGACACAAGAAAATATTAAGTTCGTTTTATGTCAGTTTCTTTTCTCTCGTCAGTGGAAAAGGGTACGGTCTGATTAAATAAAAGAATTTAGCATCAGCTGACAAAGCGTGTTAGAAAAAAATGAATTCCAAGTGGCAATTGAAAGAAAAAGGGAAATAATAAGTTATTCGATGAAGAATGTGATGTGAGTAACATCATTTCACACGTATTCAATATAAATACATTTGTTATTTGATTTGTATTATTCATCGACGAAATGCTGGCTCAACTCAGCAATATGACACGATCAGTGTGAACAACCGTAGAAAATAGAAATAAAGACATATTGAATGCATCAGAATAACTCCTGAAGTATAAGCAAAAGCTGAGCTGGTTATAAAGGTTGAGGCGAAGAAAAAAATCGTCTTAAAAATAGTAAATCTGAAAGAAACATGTGTTATTGTTGTAATCACATGCTTACAACTGACAGTGGAACAAAATTAATTGTTTCTTTTGCATATTCCGCATCAATTTTATACATTTTTGTTCGCTTTTGCTTGTACTCGAAATTGTATTCCCAAGCGTTTTTATGAACTCCGAAACAAATGATAGAATAGAGCAGAAAAATAAAGCACTTTCACAACGCATGCATATATTTCTCAAAGTAATTCAATTTTATTTCAATTTATTTTTATTTACAAATAGACAAAATGGCAGAGAATACAAAAATGAAGTCATGGGTAGTTTTTATGTTTTTTTTTTTATTATTGAGCGATATGTTTTCAGATTTAAAAGAAAGTTCATTTCCATTAGACTATGTGCTTTGTAATATCTTTCAACGGAATTGGGGAAACATATTAATGTCAAAACAAGAAAAAAGTATATAATAAGAAGCGATTTTGATGATGACAAGCGCTCAGAGAAACAATGACAAAAAAATCTGTCAAAAGAAATTACGATTTGGTATGGTGAGCAGCATATTAATAATTTGATCATAATGAGATGCTTCTTATACAGTATTAAGCTGGTATTTGTGAAGTGTATAAATCTTATAAACATCTGTTTTTGAATCACATTGATTGGCATAACGGAAAAGGGAATTTAATTTTACGAAGTAAACACGAGTGTGCATGCTCAAATTTGAGTATTTTTGCCACCCAAAAAAATGGTTGAATCTTTTCTCGTTGTTTTATCCAATACAAAAACGGAATAAGAGAAATCATGTTCTGTCGTTCGATTTGGGTATTTGCAAAAAAAAAGTAACATTGTTATCTGTTTACAACAGATAAACAACCAACACTGTTGTAAAAATTAAAAACACTTAGTCCAACAAATTCATGGATTTTATTTGTACAAGTTGAAGCATCAGTAGTTTCGTATTTTAATGATAAAAAATAAAATGATTTAATTTGAAGAAATAATATTTTCGAAAGGATTTATTTGAAGCTAATAAAAATGAATGCCAAGTAGAATAGAGATAGGATTCATTAAACCAAAACTTTCAACTTCAGCACCTTTGGGACACTCTAATACAGTTAGTTATATTTTGCACACTTAATCATTCAACTTTAGTTTGTACTCATGGGCGGGAATTTAAAACAATGTGTCAAAACAAATGCGATCGTAACTAACAAGAAACTAAGTTCACGAATGATTGATCAAAATTACATGAACCATCAGCTTAATTGATAACTTTTATGTATACGTACTTTACAATCTATTGTTTCATCATCCAGTATTTTTATGTTTTGTTCTTTATTCACACTATCGATTTAAATGTGTGCAATATTTTCCAACAAAATTGATGCGCCCGGCTTCAATATATATTTAACAATGTGAAATAATGAATGTGCCAACTGAAAATCGATTTCTCTCTTCAAAAAAATCTGTTTTATTCTTTGTATTTGCTATCAGCTTTTGTTATTATTCGTAACTTTTTTTCACTTAAAAATCGATCTACATTGCATTTTGTCATCAATTCTTTTACACAATATCCAATTAAACACCTCGATGTATTTTTTTACGATTTTGCATAATCGCACTTTTTTCTCTTTTTCTTCAGTTCTCTTCACAATACAACTGTTTTGCAATCCCAATTAACTGGGATTCTTACGGAAAAAATGTCACTGAAAGTTTCAATTTAAAATATCAACACGAATAGATTCACGATTCAAAAGAAATTCTTTTCAGTTTTTTTTTTATTTGAAAAATAATGTTTCTTGCCTACGATTTTCACTTAGATCTCAATTCAATCGCACATGTAAGGGATTGAATCTTGATTACTACAGTTTTGATTTAATTCAACAGATATAACGAGAATAACATGGTATCGGGAAAATGCTTTCGAACTGTTAAAACAATTGGGAGCGTGTATGAACATGAGGTTTGGCCGCATTGACATCAACCGAATCACTACTGTGTGAATTTAGAGCAAAAGTGCACAACACTCAATCTGCATGTGATCATGAATGCTGGATGGAATTCGCAATGTTTGTCTTGTTTTTTTGGTTTTCGCCTCTATCCATATGCTGTGTGCTCCGCTGACACATAATCGAAACGAAATTCTTTCCTGTGCGCATTCACTTTTCCAACGAACACGAATTCGCCGTACTTTTTGAATTCCTTGTTTCTATGAAATCTTTTCATTGCGGATAATGTTCAATGAAATTTGTAATTCCAGCGAAGGGGAACACCACATCAATTTCGTACCGACTCCATGGAAATATTTCAAAATATTTCGCTGATTTCATGCGCATGACTTCATGGAATATTCCATTCAGCCGACCAATGTATATAAATATAATACAGACACTATTTCTTGTCTCGAGTTTGTTAAATTCATGTTGATTCATTGTGTTTGGGCTTACACGTATCCACATTGTGCTGCTAACGCTTTATTATACATCATGTGATTTTGAAAGCAAACGGAAAAACAAATGCTTTTTTCCAACAAGTGCTTCGTTCAAGGTAGTAATGAAAAAAAACCTGTTTGAACGTTCCAATGTTCGAATAAAAAATAGATACGCGGTATTGAAATTTTGAAAGAAAAATCTCGACATAAGTATGATGTGACCACCTCATCCAATTCATCTTAAGTCGGTTGAAATTCATTTATAGTGCAATAATTTATAAAACATTCAAAGCATGCACTTGCTTGAGGAACTTGATGCTTTTTTTGCTCAGATTTTATTTAAAAGTCACGACAAATGGGGGGAAATCATTTCCAATCAAGTTACAACTTTCATCTGAATTTTCTCATTTAAGGTTTAAGTTTTAAGCATCATAAGGCGGTGGATCACTATGAGGAGTACTAATGACCGCACATTGGAAAATTAATTAGTTTTGGCCAGTGAGCAATTTCACTGCTTTGCATTTAATTTTCGAAATTTTCTCTTCTCAACTGTGTTGAACAACCATGCATTTTGGAGCACATATTTGAAATAAATTGTCCAACCAAACACTGAGCATTCTTTTTTTGAAAATGAATTAAGAAATAAATACAATAGATATCCGCACACATTCCGAATCGTTTCATGGGATGCTACATCAATTGAGAGATGTATATTTTAAATGCAAGTAGAGTCATAGTAAATTCCACTGTGCATGTAGCCAACACCAATGGAAAAACGAGGAAAAATGTAAAACTATTACATTACTACTGTCTACTGGGTAAAACCATTTTGCTTAACCTACCACATAATAGAGATATAGATAGTATGCGACGAATATATAGCGAATAGCGTATCACCACGACGACGACCATGATTCTCCGTTTTTTGTGTTATTCGGTGTGGTTTGGTGCACGTATGGTAAATGCATGCGGTCATAGTTATGGTGTAAGCAAGAAAACATTACACGGCGATCAGTATAAAATTAAATAGCTAGTAAACTATATTGTATTAACTATTTGATAAAGTACCGATGACACGCTGGGACGCACACATTGAACTCGATTTTAACTTCAATCAATTAGGAGAATTGGTAGTAAACGTCGTTTGGCGGTGATAAAATGAGGCATTTTAATGTTCAATGGATATAAACAACGAAAGATGACGTATCTAGTGAAAAGCAACTATATTTTTCACACGTCTTTTTATTTTACATTTTCATTCTCAAGTTTTTACTATTCGTTTTATGTAGAATTCCACATCCAGAAATCATTATTTCCATTGGTTTGAGGAAAAAGGAATAGCATTTGGAATCACAAAACGTTCGGTCCATAAATGCTATCTGCGTTTTTATCGACGCAACTTACATGTAATCTCATCACACAAATCATATGAGGGTTTCGTTAACTGTCCGTTATACCACACGCTATATTCCAATGTTACAAAAAAAGAATACCTTTAATACATTTTGTTAGATATAACAGCTATATTCATGCACACTATAATATTAAGACTTTTAGATTGAAAATGAATTTTTTCTTCTCTTGGCTAGAATTTTGTGTGGCTGTGTATTTTGTTCAAGTTTGTCGAGAATCTTACTTTTCTGACCATTTGGTTTGAAATCCATGGGGAAATCTAATGCTTTGTATTAGGTCAAAGAAAGGATCTATTTATATTCTATACTTTGTGGTCTATGTTTAAATACACTAAGCTTAAGCTATGGCTCCATTTCACTTTACGACACAGATTTTTATAGCTTTCTTCTAAGTCTTATTCGGTAAAACACTTGTTTTCATGTTGACGCATTCATATGTTGGTTATACATGTACTACATTTCACCGAAATATCATTGCTTCATATGTTTCGAAAACTAATATTTATAGTGAATGTATAGTTGAAGTTTCGTAGCAATAATGTTTGGAAGATTGAATCATTTAGTCTGCTAGCAAATTTTAACACTTTATTTCATTCAAAGAATTTTATTTTAATTTTGCAAAAATTTTAATTTTCCATTCACTGTGAATATTTCGATATAGACTCTTTGATTTATGCAGTACAGTTCAAAATATACTGTTACATATTATCTATTTGGACATTTTTTCACATTAAAGTTTTTTTAAAGGTCTTTGTTTTCCACTTACTCGCTTCGTTACAACCTACAGTGCCCGTTCATATGAATTGGTAATATTTGGGTGATAAGTGCAGCGTTAAGTCTTGAGTATGTAAATAGTTGTGCGTGATTATTTAATTTTTGTCACTTTGCATGGGTGAAGTCAGTGGGAAAATTATTTCAAAATGAAGAAGAGCATGCTGTTTCAAACACTGTACGAAATTTTAATAATAAAAAAAACTTACTGGTGCACTCAAATAACGTTCTATGTACAGCGATACTCTGCGCCATCACGAGTATGAGAGTGTGTCGGTCGGTTGCACTTGCTGCATTTATAATTTTGCAATTTAAAGTATGAAAATGAATGAGCTATGTGCTTTATTTTCACTCGTATCGCGTCCCCCTTTTCACGGTTCTTTCGACATTTTCGGATAAGTGAACACACACAATGACCAAAATGTGCCACATAGTTGCACATAGTTTATTGTCTCGCATTTCGTCTATGGGGGAGATGTTGTTGCATTTGCAACCAGCGGCAATGTAACAACTTCCTCTTATACAACTTTTTGCTTCGAAGAAATCGAACAATTTTATTAAAAAGTTAGGCACGAGCTTGGTATCACCATTTTTTCCCACATAAATTTTCTCAATATTTTTGTTTCATTATGCATACGAATGTGTTTATTTTCACTACCGAAAGGATGAAAAAACAAAAACAACAGAATTTGTGTATTTTTGTCAATGGAAAATAGCAAAGTTAATGTATAACTTAAGCAAAAACTTTGCTATGTTATTATGATTGACGCATAGTTTCTTTTACTATGTGTTTACTTTCTGTGGAAAACATTTAAAAAGCGTTTAAAGGCAATTTTTTGATATTTGGCGATTTCGACAAAGAATATGAATGTATTTGTAGTCAGTATATTAACCATCAATGTAATGTAAGCTGTACAAAAGTGCGGATGTATTTCTTTTCATCTCGTCTAATTACGTGTGATCCATTTTTATTCAAAAGATTATTGTGGCAGAAATTTTAAGACACGGTCAATCATTTGAAATATATGTGTATGTATAATATATAAATTAAAATATTATTCCATGATAGTCCCACCACATCAGAAGCTTGGAAAAGTTAACAACTATGGAAATGATTTCGTTTTTTTTTTTTTTGATATCGTGCGTGAATAAGCTCAAAGAAGATGTATAGAAGAGAAAAATGTGAGCTCAGGTGGCTGGAGGAAAATTTATTCGTATTATGGTATCATTTCAACGAGCAACTGGGCGCAAGAAGATGTTAATTGGTTTCAGCAACCATAAGGAGCTGGCGAAATTCGTGTTTTCGCATAATTCATGCAAATTTTGAAGGATGGGCAAAGAAATTACCGTCTCGATGCCAAAACCAGTTCAGCATGATATTATCGCTAGTGCTGCGCATGCTGTGTATGTCCCACAAAACGTGGAATTCTATCGAAAAACCATTGAGATGGAAAGACAACGTGCGAATTTCGCACTTTTCGTTCACCGCATGCTTTCAAAAGTTTTTTTCATCATTTAACTGATAGAAAGAGAGAGAGAGAGAGAGAGAGAGAGAGAGAGAGAGAGAGAGAGAGAATTTACTGAAAAACTAAATGCGTGACGCCATAAATTCTTGCTGCTTGCAATAATTAAGATTTATTTCAATTTTATCATGCTTTCGTTCAAAATAAAATGAAAATAGTTTTTTATTCAAAAAACGGCACAAAAGTTTGTTTTCAGGCCAGATTTGATACGTTATTCGACGTAGCTTATTCAGGTTAATTGGTTGGGTATATAGCATTGCAGGCAATCGTAAAAACCGTGATTTATGCGATCCCAAGCGAAAACACTTTTTCCCTATTGTTGTTACATAAATTCCGTTTGTACCGTGTTTACTTTACAAACATTTTGTACATGTAAAAAGCTCATCGGATTTATCTCTTTGTACGTTGAATATTGCTAATTATCACTGTTTCTTGTAGACATCAATATACAAAGAGCGATAAGAAGCTTATGCATGCATAAGTGCCAAACACACTGAATATTGTCTATGAAAATGATATACATATATTCGATAATGAACATGTACCGTGTGTACATACTTAAACTAAACCAAAGTAGTTTAAAATGAAAGAACTTGTGATTCAATGGAATGTCGC